ACCCCGGGAACACAGGCTACATCAGCACAGGCAAGTTCCGGAGCCTTCTCGAGAGCCACAGCTCCAAGCTGGACCCGCACAAAAGGGAGGTACTCCTGGCCCTTGCCGACAGCCATGCGGACGGGCAGATCTGCTACCAGGATTTTGTCAACCTGGTGAGTGCTCTGGGGCCCTCTCCACTGGGCAGGGCCTGTTTGGGGATTGTGACTGAGATACATGAAAGAGATTCCGACAAGGGGATCTGTTGACTCACAGTATTTTTAAAAAGCCCAGGCTTCAGCAAACAAAAGGGTACCATTAGGGACCAGGTAGATAGGCCTCTGGCTTTTGGTTCTGGTTTCTGCAGTAGCAGCTCCTCCTCAAAGCAACTCCTGTCCGTTCCAGAACCTCCCATTGTGACAGCGAAGTAGCTGCAGCTGTTCCAGCCCTTACATACTTAACCCCCAGGCCATACCTTACAGTCTCTTCTTGTGGTAGCTCATGCACAAGTCCTGGGTTTCCTCCCTTCCACTGACCTAGATTGGGTCAGTAGAATGTATCGATTGACTCAAACCAATCAGTGTCTGTCCCTAGAGCTAGGAGTGGGGTCACTTCCGCCAAAATGAAGTCTAGGAGTTGGGTGGTGATTGCTGGCAGGAGAAGAAGCTAAGGAGTAGATGCTGAGGAGGTCCGGCCAGACCTCCCTGGAAGGTAGCAGCTGAGCAACTTGGACCGGCCGGCAGATGCCAAGGGGAAAGAGATGGACGTCTCATACGTCCAGCCCTATGGTCGGGCATCTTGGAACAGAGACTTCTTCCTTACTGAGGGTAAATGCTGTGCTATTTGGGGGTTACTGTGGTGGGTTGGAATGGGGGTCAGTGGGGTTAAGCAGGCAGCCTTTTGCCCACCTCTGGGTGGACGGGACATCAGGAGAAACCGCGTGAACTCGTGAGATGAGTACAAGACTGGTCTTTGGTTTCCCAGCTGGTGAAATGGAGGTGATCCACCTCCCTTCACGTCACCTGTGGAGGGGGCAGGGGTGGGGTGACTCCCATTGAAGTTCCCCAGGCCCCTGGAGCTCCAAGGTATCATGTGGGGCACCCGTATCCCACACCTGCCATCACACCACGGAGACCTCTGTGATGTGGGTGCCCAGGGGTTGCTCCTGCAGCCTCCTGGCCGAGCGGCTGGCTGTGGCCCTGGGGCCAGCGCGTTTAACAGCTGCCACAGGGAGCTGCACAGAGGCCTTGTAGGCAGAGAAGAATCTCCTGCTGCTCAGAGAAGCCCAGGGAGCAGACCTCCGAGAAAGCCTGGGGTAGAACTGAGCTGGAACCGGGAATGTGGGGATACTCAGGACTTATGGGGTGGACAACAGAGGTGAGTCCTGTGACTTGGAGCCCAGCATTGTCACCAAAGACTGTGCCATGGGATTGAGCCTGCACAGCCCCAGTGTCAGCATGTGTAGTGCCACAAGATACCTCCCCATTTCCACAGGAGTACCTCCCTTTTGTGGAGGCTAAGGCAGGAGGATCACCATTTTCGAGGACAGCCCAGCAAGCTTAGTAAGGCCCTGTCTCAAAATAATGATGATACATTAAAAAGGGCTGGGGATGGGATAACTGCTACAAGAGTGGTAAAGTGCCCCTGGGATCAACCCCCAATAACAACAACAACAACAACAACAAAAAAGACAACTGCTCAGTTTCAGGGCAGAGTGAGGGCTTGCTGAGCCAGAGAGAAGCTTCTCCATCCCAGAGGCCTCTCTGTGAGCTCACAGCAAGTAACCTGCTGCTGTTAAGATTTCTGTGTTGAAGTTCTGAGCTGGAGCAGCCAACCGTAGCCTGGAGTCATGTGGGTGGTGCTGCCCTGAGACCGGGCAGCAGGGACTCACCAGGGGGACCCTCTGGGGAGGGCCAAGAACTTGCATCCTGGAGGGAGGGAGGCAGATGTGGGCCCTGGTTCTCACTCCACCTTTGCTGCTCACTGGGAAAGATTCCCTGGCCTCTGTTTTCCCATTTGTACAATAAACCCAAAGATTTAGGGTTATTGCAAGGATCAAGTATGATAAAGGACTACATTTGGAAGCTTTTGTCGTATCTTAATACTCTTCCTCCACGTAGACTGCTTTGTACCTTTTGTGAGCCTCTGCCAGTCCCAACCTAAGCAGAATGAATCAGCCTTATCCAGAGCCCCAATAGCGAGTTTCCCAGGCCTCTCATGATGTGTCACATTGCATACAGCTGAGCCGACAGGGGTGTCGTGGAGGGGTGTGCAGGCTGTGGACTACACAGGATGCCTGCCTGAGGAATGAATGGGGGACTGAAATCTTGGCCTGAACTTTCCTCACTGAGGCCTGGAGGAAGAGGCTTCTTTAATTGTCATGAAAGCTCCATCTAGGCTACTCTGCCCCTGGAGTCAGGCAGGTCTGGATTTGAATCCTGACTCTGAAGTACTATGGATCAGTTAAATTTCTCACCCTAAGCTTCAGTCCCCGTTTTCATGATGTGGCCATGCTAACACGCACCCAGTAACTAAGAGCACCCCGTCTTCTGCTGCCATTCACCCTTCCCTCCCTTGTAAACTCCGGGAGGCCTGAGACTCTGGTAATGACTGTGCCCAGCACAGCTTTAGACGTGAGGCGGACACAGCTACGTGCTGAGTGCCTACGGATCCCGCTTCTCCTGGGCTTGACCTGAGCCTGCTCCCTCCTCCTGGCCATCCCTTGGCCATCAGCTGCCAGTGTGCGTGTGCCTGTGTGTGTGCGTGTGTGTGTGTGTGTGTGTACACACATGCTGTGCATGCCTACATACTTGGAACTCCCGAGCCTCCGAGAAGCAGTCCATCCCAGCTTGGTAGGCATGGAGGGGACAGGAATTGGACTAGCTGGAGGGTTCAGCTGTCATGGCCTGCTGCAGACTGGAGGCTGGAAGCCAGACACTGGAGGCGAGAGACAGAGGGCTCAGGAGTGAGAAGGGGGCTCTACAGAGGAGACTCCCACCACCTGGCCTGGTCTGAACCCAGATCCTCCCAGCTGTCCTCCTCTGACAAAGGCTCCGATCCCTGTGCCTTGCTCCAGCCTGGTTCTCCTAACCAGCCTTGTCCAGCTCCTTCCTTCAGGCCTAGCCCGATGTCCGCTGCTGGCCCGTGGCCCCAGGAATACATTGCTAATCCCCTCACTAGGTGGGTTCGGGGGCTGGAAGAGCTGTGTCCGTAGGGCTTCTCCCCATGGGAAGGGTCTAGTGTGTGTCCCTGGAGTGTAGGGGGAGGCTGCATTGGCTTCTGGAGGCTGGAAGCCCGCGAGGCCACCTCTGGTCTCTGCGAGTCAGGATGACCTCTGCGCGAGGCAGCCAGAACTCTATGGGGGATGTGTCTGGGCCGCTGAGGGTAGGGCCTGGCCTCTGTCTGGGCTCCACCCCCACCCTGGGCTCCGTGGGCCCTGCAGATAGCAGGTAGGGCTGCTTGTCCCTTCCCTCTCCGCTGTGTCTGAGGACTCTGCTTCCTACTTATTCTTTCTTTCTCAGCGGATGTCACCTTCGCAGGGAAGCCCAGGCTGACCACCTCGGGACAAGTTGGGCTCCCTCTTGTGTGCTCTCATGGCAGCTGTCTGGCTGGTGACTTCTTTGTCCTGAACACCATTCATTGTACCCACCCCTTTGCCCCTGGGTCTGGCAGTGCTCCTGCCCCTTAGTAATTGCTCAGCAAATTGTGATAGATGGATGATGAAGGAGTGAATGGAAAGAAGGTAAAAGTGAAATCAGATACAGGCTCTGGATTTGAACTTGGTGCATTCCTGAAACATTCTGTGCCTTAGTTTTCTATCTGGTAGAGCAGGAGTGTTCCTAGTTCTCATCTCACAGTTGTATCAAATGGGCCAAAAGATGTAAAGTGCTTAGAATAGCCCCCAAACATAATCAGAGGCCAGTGAGTGTTGCTTCATATTTGAATCCAGTGCCTCATGCATGCTAGGCAAGCGCTCTACCACTGAGCCACAACCGCAGCCCCCTAATCAATTCTTTTTTTTTTTTTTTGTACCAGGAATTAAACCCAGGGGCGCTGCTTAACCACTGAGCCACATCCTCAGCTCTTTTTTTTTATTTTATTTTATTTTAAGACAAATTTCGCTAAGTTGCTTAGGGCCTTGCTAAGTTGCTGAGGCTGGCTTTGAACTTGTAATCTCCTGCCTCAGCCTCCTGAGTTGCATGGATTACAGGCATGTGCCCAGCTCTAATCGACTCTTTTTTTTTTTAATTTTTTTTTTATTGGTTGTTCACAACATTACAAAGCTCTTGACATATTATAATTCATATATTAGATTGAAGTGGGTTATGAACTCCCAATTTTTACCCCAAATGCAGATTGCAGAATCACATCAGTTACACATCCACATTTTTACATAATGCCATATTAGTGACTGTTGTATTCTGCTACCTTTCCTATCCCCTATCTAATCGACTCTAATAAAAAGAAAATGAAATGTGGAGTTGGGCCCGGTTTAAGTTCATTGTTATAGGGACACTGTTGGGCGGGGGGAGGGGGGTGTCCCAGAGGCCCCAGCTCTGACCCTCTCCCTACCCTGTTTCCTGCACAGATGGGCAACAAGCGTTCCAACAGCTTCCGCCAGGCCATTTTGCAGGGCAACCGCAGGCTCAGCAGCAAGGCCCTGCTGGACGAGAAGGGGCTGAGCCTCTCACAGCGGCTGATCCGCCACGTGGCCTATGAGACCCTACCCCGGGAGATTGACCGCAAGTGGTACTACGACAGCTACACCTGCTGCCCCCCACCCTGGTTCATGATCACAGTCACACTGCTGGAGGCAAGGACAAGGGTGGGGAAGGGGCTGCCCAGCCTTGGGAGAACAGGGGAGGGGGGGATGAGAGGAGAGGAGCCAAGAGGATTCAGAGTTCACGAAGGGGAGGAGGCACACCCCTCCAGCGAAGGATGAAGGTGGACTGCCAAGATGTTCCAATTATCACTTCAAGCCATTTAAAAAAGTTTGATGGTCGTTGAACCTTATTTAATTTATTTATTTATATGCGGTGCTGAGAATCGAACCCTGTGCCCTCCCACATGCCAGGCAAGCGCTCTACCACTGAGCCCCAACCGCAGCCCTTCGAATAATTTTTGCTGGAGCCAAGTCCCCAGATGGCCACCCCTCCCAAAACAACGGGCAACAGAAACCGTGCAATTAGCTCATTGATTTGGTACATGGTTGCAGGGACACCAGTGTGGGGGTTCCCCCTGAGGCCCCTGAGTCAGCCAGGCAAACTCAGTCAAGTCCATTTATTTTAGTTCCTCCCCCGATGGACAAGGTGGACCCGTCATTGGCTCCCCTGGGACTCCATGACCCACCTGTAAAGCTGGAGTAACCACGCCCACCCGCCGGTAGGAAGGATGCCTCTTTCAAGTGAAAGAAGGGCTGGGGTGTTTTCTGAACACAAAAGCATCACACAAATACCTCTAGGAAGGAGTATTTGTGAACAAGTAAACGTGGGCTAAACATATTTTTAAAGAACATTCTCCCCTAAGAGAATCAGCCATACCTATTATTATTGCAAAAAAAAAAAAAATCTCCTGCTTAGGCAAAAGAGTTGGGAGATACTTTGTGCACCACGGAGCTCAGCTCTTATGGCTGTTCAACCCTGGCACTACTAAGCCCCCCCCCGCCCACCTCCAGTTCCTGATGAGTGCTTGACTTCCCTTTGGCATTGCATGATTTCGCGCTGTTCCTTTTCCGAAGCCTTGGGCCTGGTCATCACCTTGCAGAGTTCCTGCCTCATCAGATGGCAGGATGGCTCAGCTCTGTGGCATCTTTCTTCTTCAGTCTGCTCTGTGGTTTAGAGCTCCTGTTTGTTGTTACGGCTTCCTCCAAGTACATATTGAAGTTGCAAGTTTTTTTTTTTTGTTTTTTCCCTGAGATATTCTTGGACTCGTTCTTCCAGCGCTGACTGTATTGGTCTATTTATTAACTGCTATTTGAGGACCAATAATAATGAGATGCCTTGGAAGCTGTATTTGCTGCCAGGCCACCCGCATGGTGTGAGGTGGACGGAAGCTTCTCAGAGAGCCCCGAGGAACACAGCTGCCAGCGCCTAAGCCATGCCCAGGCTGAGCCCAGCAGGTCTTAACCTGACACTAATTATAGCTTCCTTCTCTGAGTGTGTGCCAGGCACGAGGCTGGTTCTTTGTGTGCTTTACTACTTTTATTTTGGGTACTGGGGATTGAACCCAGGGGTGCTTAACCACTGAGCGATATCCCCAGACCTTTTTATTTTTTAGTTTAAGACAGGGTCTTGCTCAGTTGCCTAGGGCTTTATTAAATTGCTGAGGCTGACCTCAAACTTGGTGATCCTCCTGCCTCAGCCTCCTCAATCACTGGGATTACCAGTACTTTATCACTTTTAAACTTCATGACCATGCTGGAAATCTAGGTACCATTTCCAGATAAGGAAACTGAGGACCAGAGAATTCAAATAATTTGCCCAAGTTGGTCCAGAGGGGTTAAATGTATCCAAATTGATTCAAATTTCCGGAAACCTCAGCGTGAACTTGAACTGCTAATTCAGAAGAAACCGGAAAATGCTCAAACAGCTGAAATAAACTATCTCAGAGCCCTTCATGGGAAAGCCCAAGCCTTTTTTTTACATACAGTTCTAGTAACCTGATTCTCTAATTCCATAACAGGTAGAAAATAGAACACAGAGGGGGGTGGTGTGCTACTACACAGGGGCCCAATGCTAGCGAGCAGTAAAAAGTTAACAGCTGGCAATCTGGCATTGAGAGAAACAACAGAAGAGAAGGAAATTGAAAACCAGACCTGAGCCAGTGTGGTGTGCATGCCTGTAATCCCAGTGCCTCAGGAGGCTGAGGCAGGAGGATTTCGTGTTCAAAGTGAGCCTCAGCAACTTAGTGAGGACTTAGGCAACTCAGACCCTGTCTCAAAATAAAAAATTTTAAAAAAGGGCTAGGGATGTGGTTCAGTGGTTAATCCCCACTGGGTTCAATCCTCAGTACCAAATAAATAAATAAAGCTAGGTGTGGTGGTGCAAGCCTGTAATCCTAGTGTCTCAGGAGACTGAGGCAGGTGGATCACAAGTTCAAAGCCAGCCTCAGCAAAAGCAAGCTGTTAGGCAATTCAGTGAGACCCTGTCTCTAAATAAAATACAAAATAGGGCTGGGGATGTGGCTCAGTGGTTGAGTGCCCCTGAGTTCAAACCCTAGTACCTTCCCCTACAATAAATAAAATAAAATAAAATAAATATTTAAAAAATAAAAAGCAGACCCAAGTCTTAAAGAATTTGGGACCATTTAGTACAGGAGTGAAAACACCATCTCCTTTGATGGCTGAGGAAGAGCCATCAGCCCATATCAGAACCTGCAACATCCTTAAATGGTATTCATATGATCTAAGAACACAGGGACACAAATGGTACATTTTAAAGAGAGTTTCAGAAAAAAAAATAAGTCAAAATAAATATCCTTTTAGGGCCTAAATAGGTACACTTTTGTCAAGTGCAGAATCAACTTACATAGACAGTTGGTGAAGATGTGGAGACTAGAACCCTTGTGCCCTGTTGGTAGCAGTATGAAATAGTGCAGCCGCTATGGAAAATACTCTGGCATTTATTTGAAAAATTAAACACGATGCAGCAATTCCACTTCTGAGTGTATACCAAATAAATCGAAAGCAGGGACAAGAAGAAGTATTTGTATACCCATGTCCATAGAACAGTTTGCACAACAGCCCAAATGTGGAGGCCTCCCAGGCATCCATGGATAGATGAATGGACGAACAGAATGTGATAGATCCATACAATGGAGTATTATTTAGCCTTTAAGAGGAAGGACATGCTCAGTCAAATAAGCCAGTCCCAGAAGGAGAAGGACGTGTGATTCCATATATATGAGACAGTCAGGGAAGTCATGCTCATGGACACAGAAAGAGGAATGGTAGTTGTCCAAGGTTGGAGTGAGGGGAATGGGGAATTGGTGTTCAATGGGTATAGAGTTTCAGGTTTGCAAGATGAAAGGAGTTAGTTCTGTGGATGGATGGTGGTGACAGTAGCGCATGTAAATCTACCAAACTGTGCACTGAAAAACTGGTTAAGATGGTAAATAGATGGTAGATTATATGCGGATTTCACCATAATGGTTTTTTTTTTTTGTGTGTGTGTGTTTGTGTGTGTGTGTATGTGTGGTACTGGGCAAGCACTCTACCACTGAGCTGCATCCCCAGTCCCTACAATACTACATGGAATGGGTGAGTGAATGATTATTAGAATCACAGTTAAAATCCTCCAAACCTGCCCGTGTAGGAATTGTGGCAAAGACACCATGTGACTCTGTTGGGAGCATTGAACACAAAAAGATGAACCAGAAGTAGGTTGGGGCCTGGTTGGCCATTGAGCGAGGTGCTGGCTGTGAGGTGTCTTTCCTTCTCTGAGGAAGGAACCCCTGGCGTGGTTCCCAGTGTCCATCAGCACACGGATGGGTCCTGGGCAGCTCCAGTCCTAGTGACAGGTCCTTTCTATTCTGTGCTTCATCCAGGTCGCCTTCTTCATCTACAATGGAGTTTCGCTGAACCAGTTTGTGCTGCAGGTGACCCATCCTCGTTACCTGAAGAACTCCCTGGTTTACCACCCCCGGCTCCGAGCACAGGCTTGGCGCTACCTGACGTACATCTTCATGCATGCAGGGTGAGCTCCTGTCTTCCTTGTACGGTGAAGCGTCCCTAAAGGGAAATAATGGTCCAAACACTGGGGTTGAAAATTGTACACACACACACACACACACACACACACACATACACATATAATTTGGCAGTACTGGGAATCAAACCCAGGACTTTGAACAGGCTAGGCAAGTGCTCTACCACTGAGCTACATCCCCTGAGACCCTGAAATTGATTTTTTAGTTTATTTTTATCCACTTGGATACAGGATTTGAGATGGCTGCTTGAAGCTTATCTAATGCCAAAATGCACAGGTCAGTTACTGAGAGTGTGTGGGAAAGGGAAAACAGGGGAACTCGAAAAAGCCAGAGAGAGATGAGCGCAGACTCACACAGCACACGAGTCTGTGTGTTTGCTAGAGGTAGGTTGAAAGTTTGTTCTGGGCTCCTGGTAGCCAAGGCAAAGAGGGACATGGGATCAGCTGCCAGGCTCATGTATGTGTTAGTGTCCCCATGAGTGAAATAAAGGAATAATTTATTAGAATCACCTCCTTCCCAAAGTGGTCTCCATGTGTGGTGAGGGTCTTCTGAGGAACTTTGGAAATATTCATAATTTCTGTTTACAGAGAGAGCCCCATGCCCTCTTTTGGGGCTATAGTGCAATCATTTCTCATTGGCACTTTTTAAAAAAATATTTGTTTTTTAGTTGTAGTTGGACACAATACCTTTATTTATTTTTTATGTGGTGCTCAGGAGCAAACCCAGTGCCTCACACGTGCTAGGCAAGCGCTCTACCACTGAGCCACAACCCCAGCCCTCATTGGCATTTTTTTTTAATACCTTTATTTTATTTATTCATTCTTTTTTTTTATGTACTGGGGATTGAACTCAGGAGCACTTGAACCACTGAGCCACACCCCCAGCCCTATTTTATATTTTATTTAGAGACAGGGTCTCACTGAGTTGCTTAGCCCCTTTGCCATTTCTGAGGCTGACTTTGAACTCAGGATCCTCCTGCCTCAGCCTCCAGAGCTGCTGGGATTACTGGTGTGTGCCACGGCGCCTGGCTATTTGTTCATTTTTTTATGTGGTGTTGAGGATGGAACCCAGCACCACCCAATGCTAGGTAAGCGTGGTGGCACTGAGCCCCAGCCCCAGCCCCTCTCACTGGCACTTCTTACCATAGGATCAGGACTCACGAGCAGTTCAGGTGACCACCCAGGTCCAAATGCCAGAACAGCAGCAATCTTGGCCGGAGAATGTTCTTAGGGTAGAAGCACCAAGTTGGGAAAACAGAGACCCCAGGCACCAGCCTTGGTGGGGTCTCCTGCAGCCCCTCCCACGTAGTGAAGGAGCTCACTCCTCGCTGGGAAAACGCCTAGGGATGCCTGAGTTGGGGTGGAAATGGGAAGGTCCCCCAAGCCCTCGATCCCTCCATAGCAGGAACAACAGCCCACCCCTAGCTGCTGCCCCTGCTCGGGAGGTTGCTCTAGGGTGAGGAATACTTCAACGTAATTGCTGAGGCACGTCACCATTCTCAGCCAAGAAGGACCATTGGTTGAGGCTGTTCCCCTGCCAGTCCTGTCCTGCACGGGGCTGAGGAGCAGAGGGAATGGGGGATCATGCTTCAGCTTCTCATGAATCAAGCTCCAGAGACCACAGAAACTGAGGTTTTCCTGCCTGGGCTCCCCAAGCCTGTGGCTGCACGTGGGGTGTGACTGACTACAAGCTTTATTCTCAGGGCTGCCCTCTGACCTTTCCTGGCCCCACAGAAGAAGGGAGAAGAAAAGCCAATGCCTCTAAAGCCACCTCTCCCCTTTCTTTGCCTCCTGGTGCTAAGAGCAGTGTCCTGCGGCAGACAGGGCACAGATATCCTCCACCGAGGCCCCCAGGGTGGCCCTGGGCCTTTTGCCAACAGTTGCTTCTCAGGAGGCCTTGCCTGCCAGGGAGAGCCTGAGGGCATTCTCCAGGTCTGTGGGTTTTGAGGAAAGGGCTCTTGGTGTGGGTAGAGTAGACAAGAGATAGGAACAGCAGCTGGCCAGTGCTTAGGGAGGTCCCAGCAAGGTGACCTATCATTCCGAGACCCTGTGAGCCTAGGAATCCAAGAGTCATCACGTGGAGAAGAAAGAGTCGGAGCCCCGGGTTTTCCTCACCTGGCCTCTTCTAGTCTCAGGTTCTTAGGCTGTGAAATGAGGGCCCCGGAAAATCTCTCAGCTCAGTGACTGTGACCCTGTCACCAGCCTCTTTCCAGTGAGCTTTCCTGGTCTTTCTCATCTCCACAGAATCCTTTTGCTAGCCCAGCCTGTAGAGGATAGAAGATTCTAGCTTGTTGGGAATCGAAGACACGTCCAGCCTGTCTGAGCTACCTCACAGGTGCCCTCCTGAATAAGCAGGTGCCCATGTGTGTCCTCCATGTAGCTCAGGCAGGGCTCTGCAGACCAGGAGCAGGGCTGTGACCAGTTACACCATAACTGGAACCGTCCCTGGGGAGCTGTCCATGTGCTGTAGGCTCAGTTTAAATGAGATAATGGATGTTAAAATGCTTTGTAAACTTGAAAGCCGCGCATTGATTTAATAATAGTAATGTTACGATCTTTTCTGGTAATACATGGACTTGGCTAGACACCCTGTGCTTTTGGCGACACGATCTGGCCCCAGATGAGTAGGAGTGTGCAAATGAAAGGCATTCACAGAGTAAGGAAGCTTGGGGTCTCTCTCCCCTCAAAAAATAAAACTCCCTGGAGAGTGTCAGAGTGGAAGGTCCCTTTTTACACGAGGAAGAAACCTCCTCCACAGGTCATTTTCTTCTCTGGGGTTTGTTTGTTTTTGCCTCTAGTGGAGATTGAACCCTGGGGTGCTCTGCCACTAGACTTCATTCCCAGAACTATTTATTTATTCATTTAGGTACCAGAACTGAACCTGGGGCACTTAACCACTGAGCCACATCCTGAGCCCTTATTTTTTTTTTTTTTTTCAAATTTTGAGACAGGGTCTCCCTAAGTTGCTCAAGGCCTCGCTATGTTGGTGAGACCGGCTTCCAACTCACAACTCTGCCTCAGTCTTACAAGTTGCTGGGATAACGGGCATATGTCACCGTGCCTGGCTCAATTTTTTATTTTATTTTATTTTTGGGGGGGAGGGTACCAGGGATTGAACTTGGAGGGGCACTCAACCACTGAACCACATCCCCAGTCCTTTTTGTATTTTAGAATCAAGGTCTCACTGAGTTGCTTGGTGCCTTGCTAAATTGCTAAGGCTGCCTTTGAACTCATGATCCTCCTGCCTCAGTTTCCCGGGCTGATGGGATTACAGGCGTGTAATACCACACCCAACTCGATTTTTAATTTTTTTTGTAAGTAACTTTATTTTTTTTAAAAGAGAGAGTGAGAGAGAGAGAGAATTTTTTAATATTTATTTTTTAGTTCTCGGCGGACGCAACATCTTTGTTTGTATGTGGTGCTGAGGATCGAACCCGGGCCACACGCATGCCAGGCGAGCGTGCTACCGCTTGAGCCACATCCCCAATTTTTGAGACAGGGTCTTGCTGTGTTTCCAAGGCTGGCCTTGAACTTGAGATCTTCCTGCCTTAACTTCTCAAGTAGCTGAGATTACAGGTGTGTGACACCAATCCCAGCTCCCCTATAAGACTTCAAAGGAAAGATTTAAATTACTAAATTACAGGAGATCTCTTTAATACTTGCACTTATTTTGAGACCGTCTTTTTCTTTCAATATCAGTTCTCATGTATAACAAGTTAGAACAAATAAATAAGTTTTTTAAAATATAATAGAGAAGGACTGAGGATGTGGCTCAGTGGCAGAGCGCTTAATAAGCATGTGAGGGGCCCTGTGTTCAATCCCACACACACAAATACTACACACACACAAATACGAGAGAGAGCCAGAGTGACCACAGCGCCTGGTGAATGAAGGGGAGCAGTCAGGTAGATTGGAGAGCTAGCCACTAACTAGCCATCTAAGGCAGTTACTGCCTTCTCTGAGCTGTGGCTTCTCATGCATGGACCCACAGGAGCTGCTAGATGTGGATAGTCCCTCTCATGGTGGCAGGTGCAGATACTGCCAGTCACCACCTTGTCCATGTGCTTCTGTCCACTGGAAGGGCCACTCTTTCCAAGATGGTCTGTCTGCATTGTCATTCCTCCTCCCAGATGGTGAGCTCCTCAAAGGTAGAGACAGTGTTCTTCCCTCCTGGATCCCCAGCATCTGGGCACACAGTGTCGAATGAATGAATGAATGAATGGATGTGGTCTGTCACAGGGTAGAACACCTGGCACTCAACGTGGTGCTGCAGCTGCTGGTGGGGGTGCCTCTGGAGATGGTGCACGGAGCGACCCGCATTGGGCTTGTGTACGTGGCCGGTGTCGTGGCAGGTAGGCATGTGGGCCCCGTGTCCAAGGGGTAAGCCTCACCAGGTAGGCTGAGGGAGGGTGGGCCGTGGTCTGATGGGTGTGATCAGCCCCAGGCTTCCAGAGCGCACACAAGCTCCTCATCACTAAAGCTCCTGTCTCAGAGGGTTGTCCTTGAGGCAGACTCTTCTATTTCTGGGGGGCTGGAAGGGGACAGCCACCTGGAGCGGGAGGTGTGTCATGGTAAAGGGGAGAGGGCAGGATTTGGAACTGGCTAATGGCTTTTAGTTTCTGCCCTGCCATGTGGGAACCTCTCTTGGTCCTATTAAGTTTGAAGAGGGAACTAATGAGATCTGCCTGTAGGGTTCCTGGGGGGCTAGAGTGAGGTAACAAATGGAATAAGGGTGCTGCATAATCTGCAAGGGTGCAGCCAGATCACTGAGAGGGCATCAGAGGTGTGGGTGGAGGCGGCACCTGCCTGGTCAAGGTGGGTAGCACTTGAACCCAAAAGGAAGTCTTGTCTCTTCCTCTACCAGCCACAGACCCGTGGACTGACCCACCGCGGACAGAAGAATCTGGCCCTTGAGGCAGTGGCTCTCATTCTCCTCTGGAGGAGTCAGGCCTCTGCCTTCTTCCTCTTCCGCCTGTGGGAGCAGGGACGGGGCAAGAGAGTGGGGAGACCAGAGCTGATTTTTTTTTAGGACCGGTTTCACCCATCTGGCTTCTAAACACAGGGATCTCCCTTGTGAAGTTTCCAACTTTATTGCTGGCTTTCTATTTTTTTTTTTTTTAAACAAGGTTTGCCACCTCAGCTCTTCAGCTTGACAGCTGTGCCCAAGGGAGCTTTGTGTGTATGTTTAAGTAAGATCTTAATCCTTTCTGAGTGGCATTAAAGTCGCCATCAGGAGAGTGGGGCGGCTTCAGCCTTGTAAACCACAGGCAGGCAGGGACCCTTGGTGGTGACTGATGTGGTCTTACAAATTGAAGAGGGAAGGGTCCTAACCGCCCCCACACACATGGGGCTGGTCCTAGGAGATTCTCCCCGCACCATCTCCATCTCTCCTGTGGGTGGCCAGAACCTTCCACCTTGGACAGCACATACTGCCCTTCCCAGAATCCAGCAGCTACCAGGTCTCTCATAAAGGCCACGGTGCAATTCAAGGACAGCCTTGGCAACTTAGCGAGACCCTGTCTCAAAATATAAAATAGAAAGGACTGGGGGATGTGGCTCAGTGGTAGAGAGTCTCTGGGTTCAATCCCCAGTACCAAAAAAAAAAAAAAAAATGCCGATGAGCACCTCTATGTTCCAGATTTGTTCAGCCACCCACATCCCCCATCCTGACATCTGGGGATTTATAACCACTTTTTCCATACCCAGAGTCCCAGATGTTAAATGGAGAGGAACAGGGAAGACACTCGTAACACTTGCAATTCGCAGTCAATTAGACGGGAATGCCAATAACCTGGAAGACAGAAATAAGATTCAAAATGACTCAGACCTCACCCAAAACAGATGACACACGGTAGGAGACAGAGCGGAAATCACTTCCCAGTGATGTCACTGCAGAGTGGGAAGCTACACAGACTGAAGCACAGGGCTCATCAAGTAAATGTGAGGGTGTGGGGCTGTAGCTACCAGCCAAGGGCACGCCGTGTTCTGTTGGAGTCATTGATCCAGACCAAAGGGCATTCTGGTCACCACGTATAGCTTGTCATTGATCTCCAGGATTGAGTTAATTGATCTGCCTGGGCTGGTCCCCCTCTTCCGCCTCCATTCCCCTCCTCTAAGAGAGAACCTTTTTGCAGATAGCTGGACTTCAACTGGATAGCCGGTAGTTATCAGTGCCTCCCATGTGAGGCTGTAATTAATCCTCACAACCCACCACACAGGGCAGGTACCAGGACTCTCCACCTGGTGCAGATACAGAAACCTCAGTTTAGACTCTAGGGGTGCAGTTCAGTGGTTAAAGTGTTTAATGTGTGGGCAGTCCCTAGAGGCTGAGGATATAGCTCAGTGGTAGAACACTTGCCTAGCATGCATAAGGCCCTGGGTTTGATTCCCCAGTACTGCAAAAAAGAAAGGGGAAAAAATTGTTTTAAAATAATATGTGGAAGGCCGTTGATTGAATCCCCAACATCGCTGGGGGCGGAATGAAGAAGAAGCATAGATAAGTGACCCCCAAGAAGACACAGACTGCACATGGTAGAGCTGGGCTTATACCCTTTAAACACTACCACAGTATGAAGAGAACCAGAAGGTAGGCCTTGTCCTTTGTACAGGTAATTTATTATCAGAAATCAAGGGCGAGCCGGCAAGGTAGCTCAAGCCTGTAATTCTAGCAGTTTAGGAAGCTGAAGGATTGCAAGTTCAAAGCCAGCCTCAGCGAAAGTGAGGCACTAAGCAATTCAGTGAGACCTTGTCTCTAAATAAAATATAAAATAGGGCTGAGGATGGGGCTCAGTAATTGAGTGTCTCTGAGTTCAATCCCAGATACAAAAATAATAATCATAATAAAAAAGAAAGAAAGAAAGAAATCAAGGGAGGCCTTAATAGGAATCTGGCCCTCCTCCCTAATGTCTCTAATTCCTGCTGAATGAAAGCATTCCAAACCCAAGGCCCTCTTGTTTTGTAACATGGAGGCTGACTTCCGGGGTGTACCGATGGTGCTCCAGCCATGTGATAAAGACTGTTTATGTATGCCATCACCTATATTCACAACAGTCCTATGTTGTCACCCCTACGCTACCCACAGGTCAGTGAGGTTAAATGGCTTATTCTATTTGCCAGGTTTAGAAGTAGTAGAACTGAGGTGGAGCCCTGTGCTTCTAGCCAACATCTGATGTGAATATGTCACTTGTTTATGACTAAGAATTATGGAGCTGACAGTCTAAGCACTTTGAAAACCAGTACTTTCGATACATCACCAACCTTTTATTATAGATTATATGGATTTTAAGCCACATGTGCATCCCCAGAGCCTGGCACCTGTTAGGCAATAAATATTTGTAAAGTAAATGAAGAATACGTGAATACAGTTACATTGCTTAGGGACTGGGGTTGTAGCTCAGTGGTAGAGTGCTTGCCTAGCATGTGTGAGGCACTGGGTTCGATTCTTAGCGCCACATATAAGTAAATAAAATAAAGCTCCATTGGCAATTAAAAAATATATGTAAAACAAACCAAAAAAAAGTTACATTGCTTAAAGGTAGATGTTCTGCCAGTTGTTGTTTGGATTGTTTTAATGGCCAAGGGAGATGCTGGAGAACACCTGCCTTAAAACTTTCCAACCTAAATTACTGCACCTGTGCCTTATGGTGAGGTCACCATGGACCCAGAATGTTTTTTTTTTGGAAAACGTGGCCCTGAGTAAAACCTGCCCCTTAGTCTGCTTCGGTGTAGAGAATAGATGTCACTCTAGTTTACAGTTCTTTCCAGTTCTCTGTCCCCACAACCTCTTTGGAATTTGTACTGGCCTTAAGAATGTGTCATCCATGAGGTTCACAGTGCTTATGAAGGAACCCTGCCTGGCTCTCATGTCCTGCCCCTGGTGGCCTTTATTACTTTATTTATATGCACACATCCCCGTGTTTGTGTCTGATGCCCGTCTCTCTAGTCCCTGACTGATCTGTAGGAGCCTTAGGAAGGTCTGGGCAGGTGGGGCTAGGTAGTTACCTTCAAGGTTCCAGAACCATGATCTCAGCCTTAGTCCTGGATCTTGGGACAGACCTGGGATCATTGAATTTCCTCTCTGGAAGGAATGCTCCAGGACCCTCCATTGAATGGCAAGCTTTTCTATCCAGACCCCACCCCATTCAGTCTAAGCAGTTGCCCTCCATGGGTTAGGGAGTCCCCTGGAAAGGTTTCTTTTGAAAAGGAGATTTCACTGCTTACAATTTGGAAAGCCTCAGACCTCTTCATTTTGTAAATGTGGAAACTAAAGCCCAGAGAATCCAGGGTCATACAAGCTAGCCAGCTGCACCACCATCCCCTATTCCTGCCACCATCCCAAATTGACCCCTGGCTCTGGGGTCAGTACTCTGAACCATGGGTTGGGTGAGGGAAAGGTCAGCGTTGTGCAGGCTTGACCCTGGCAAGCGCCCTCCCAGGCCTGGAGTTGCCCTTACTCCTGCCTCTGGGCCCCTGGTAGACCAGGCTGGGCGGGAGGAGAGGGCAGGTTTGCTAGGACCTGCGGGAGGAAAGGAGCCAGCCCAGGGAGGCTGGGGCTTCCTCTGTCCAAATGGTAATTAATGAGGAGCGGCTTGGGCAGCCAGCCCTGTGCAGCCCTGCAATGCAGCCTTCTCAGACGGTGCTCCGGGAGAGAGCGTGGGAATCCTTTGTCATGCAGATCCTGCTGCCTGTTTGTTTGCCACCCTGGGATTTTTTTTTTCTTCCTTCTTGTTATATATGGCTGACCCCCTTACGAGGCCATTAAAAAAAAGAAGACAGCGAAGAAGTAAAAGAAAAGAAAGTTATCTGACAATGGATCAATACCTAATTAAAGCCGGAGGGAAGGCAGGAAGAAAGATTTATAGTTGCCCTGGGAGGGGAGAAGGACTTGGGAGTCCTCAGTTCTGGACAGTTTGGTCCCCCTCCCACTCCCCCCAGCAATGACATCTCCCTTGAGGCCAAGGAATTGGTAGTGGGGATTCCTTCCTTCCCTGAAGGATCTCAGTGAATGCAGGAGACTTGAGAGAGCTGGGCAGAGGCAGGTGACCTGACCATGTCAAGGTCAGGCAGCTAGCTCTCTGTGTCCAGGTCCAGATGGTCGGGTGCCCTTGTTCCTGGGTTGGGCCCAGTTTTCTTCCAAAGGGATCCTCCACCCTATGGAGCCTGCAGAATTCCGCTTTCTGCCACTGCCCCCCTCTCTCCGGTGGCTAATTGGCTCATGAGCCCGCGGGCATTTTCCAGTGGTGATTTCTGCACACTCACCCAGGCCAGCCACAGCTCATCCTCTATGCCGTGGGCTCTACCTCCTAGTTATTTTTAGTCTCTTGTGTCCTTCCCTGGAAGCCAAAGCATTGATCACACTTAAATGAGACCAGAACAATAAATTTCCCATCTCCTCTCTGCCCAGCTTCCCTCCTCCAGGACAAAAGTTTGTCATCCCCTAAACCAAGAGAACTGTAGACCTCCCTTTCCCCCCAGAGGGTGTGACATCATCTCTTTTTCTTCCTGGGGGACTTTTCAAGGACATTTTTTCCTCCAGAGAAGCCCTACTTGGGAGATTCGGTTGGCCTTTTGTGATTTAGCTCAGCTGGAGAGAGGTGGGTGGTGAAGCTCTGCAGGTTTCTAGATGCAGCTCATTAGAAGGAGCCATGAGGAAGGCAGGGACAGCCTATTGTACCAGGTTGGAGGGTGGCTGCCAAGAGCACCGGCTTTGGTCAAGACCACAGATTTGGGGCTAGGACAATGGTGGAGTGCTTGATTAATGGACATGAAGCCCTGGATTTGATCCCCAACACTGCAAAAAGAAAGGAAAGAAAGAAAGAGGAATACGGGTTTTTGGGTTTTGTATCAGGCAGACCTGGCTCAAATCCTGGGTCCAGCACTTCCCACCAGGGGTCTCTGGGCTCATCTCTAAATCGAGACCATTAGCACCTGCATCAAAGGGTGATCTTCAGGGTCTGACCTAGTGTTCACTGCGAGGCAGCTGTTTCCATGATAACTGCTGTTATGGGTTTCACTGCTGTTCCCAACCCCAGTGCCACCTCAGTGTTGGGCAGAGGCTAGGATGAGAGGCAGGTGATACGGGTCATAACCCAAGTTCCATCTTGGGCAGGTCACTTCCCTTCTTGGAGTCTTGGTTTTCTATCTGTAAAATGAATAGGCTGAACCAAGTGGTCTTTTCGGCCATACACCAATCCTCTGGGAAATCTATAGGAAGCTCCAAGGCAACCTAGTATTAAAGGAAGAGGAGATAGAGCCTCTTGCTATAGGGTCTTCCTGCCCAGGCAGCTGACTCGGAGGGCCAGGGCTGGGGTGGGCAACCGAGTCCAGCATTCTTATGAACTCCTTCTCTTTTTCTGAACCAGGGTCCTTGGCTGTGTCTGTGGCTGACATGACCGCGCCGGTAGTGGGCTCTTCCGGAGGGGTGTATGCTCTCGTCTCTGCCCATCTGGCAAACATCGTCATGGTGAGACCCTTCTGTTTCCACATGTCTCCCTTCCTCTCCTCTGCTGCCACTGGACCTGGCCATTAATCCACTGGAGCTGGCCCAGCCCAGACCTGTCAAGTGCCAGCTGGATGGGAGCAGGGTTCACAAACACCCTTCCCCCTCCACAGGCCCATCTCAGTGTGGAGTCCCTCCCATACCAATTTATATTTTCTCCATAGCTTTGCCTTGGCCTATGAATGTACCCAACTCTTTCCCATTCAGTGACTTAGAAATAAGTGTTGAAATTTAGCCACTACTGTGTACAATCTTTGGAATGCCTTGTTTGTCAAATGTTCGTTAAAAAGTCAAAGGGCCTTAGAGATTATTTCGCCAAAAGTATCAAATAGGAAAAGAGAGGTTAAGTGATTTGTCCAAAGTCATAACCAAATTGGTTGCAAAAACCAAGACTTGAAGCCACATCTCCTGACAGCCAATCAAGTGTTGTTCCCCTGTGCTAGCCCTTCATGTGGTGGAGCTCTGGTTTCCCACTCTCCTTTGCCTCTTCCTGAAAGGCAGTGCCGTGTGTGTGATGGGTAAGAGGAGGGGCTCTGGAGCCAGACAGCCTGGATCTGACTCCCAGTGACCCACTTCCTAGAGGGTGACCTTGGACAACTTATTTAATCTCTTTGGGCCTCGATTTCTGTCCATGGAATGAAATGATACGTAATAAATGAGGTAAAGTAAGAATAATCAGGCTGGGATACAGCTCAGTTGGCAGAGTGCTTGCCTTGCATGCACAAGACCCTGGGTTCAATCCCCAGCACCACACACACACACACACACACAAAGAATAATCACTGAAAATAAATGTTAACCTAATGTCTCTACTCCTTCTGGAAGAGGCCAGGGTGGGTTCAGACTAGACTCAACCTGCAGGGCAAGAATTGGGAAGAGCCTGATAGAGGTTGTCCAAACCCTCCTGTGTGAAGGACATCTGAGTTTGGAGGTGGAAGAGAGACTCCCTGGCGGTGCTTGGCTGCCCTGCCCCACGCCCGGCTGCCCCGGCACCTGCAGGCCTTATGCATCTCTTCCCGCCCCCTGTACCTGGCACAGGGCTGGGCTCATGCTTTAGATGGCACCTGCTGAATTTTTGGTGAAGGAAGGAACAGTGTCCAGAAAAGGCTTAGCCTCCCTCTGGGGCCCTCGGGCCCCCCCCTCGTCCTTCATCACCATCTCCCCGTGTGACAATCGTGTGACCGCTCAGTTACAACAGTTTGGGGCAGTCTTAAATTCACGTTTTCTTCTTGATTTGTCCTGTTCTTACCTTCCCCACTCGCAACACCACCCCTTCTTTTCCCACCACTGTCTCCATTTTACGTGGAGAGGGTGGGGGGAGGCAGAGGGAGAGGGAGGGAGCCCGACGGCTCTTGCTCTTGGCCTGGATTCTGGCAACTTCCACTTCCCGTGAGTGCTCTGAGTGCTCAGAGAGAGGCCCTGGGTGTGGGAAGCATGCGTGAACGGGAGAGCCTGGAGAGTGTGTATTGGTGCACGTGTGTTCACACACAGCTCAGTCTGCAGAAAGCCCCAGAGCACAGGGCTGCCTCACATGGCCCTTTTAAATGGGTCATTCTGTATCAGTGCCACATCTTTCCCCAGACACAGCTCTTCCTCTGAATTCGGCCTCCTCCACTCCCCCGCCCCCTGCCCCAATTCCTCTCGGTGGGGGAGGACTGACCTCCTCCCTCCCACTCCCCCCAAGATGTCACTGTAGCTGCGCATGGGGGCTGAACAGGCAGGACTGGAGAACATGGGGGGAAGAAGGAGCAAAGAGGAGTTGGAAAGCCTCATGGGAAACAGCCCTGGTGCCTCAGCAGTTCCCATGGTGAGCACTGCCCACCCCTGCACCACAGGGCAAGGCCGAGGGGTCCAGGGAGGTGTGAAAGTAGTTTTGTTCCAGTTTATGCTTCTTTCTGGCAAGTAGCCCACGGCTGGTGGCTGTGGAGAGGAGCAGTCCCATCTGAGAACCCAGTGTCTTCCCAGAAGGAAGCAGCTTTCCCAGCCACCTGGGAGCTTTGCAGGCCCTGGAGTCTGGCATGTGGGGAGCCTTCTCTAGAAAGTCATGTGATGCTTGTCCATGGTGAAAAAACTAATTTACTCACTAGAAAGGCCACTTTCCCCTTGGTCAAGGGACATTCTTTGCCCAAATTAGCTCAGTAATGGGCAATTCAGAGGCGCATGGGGTCAACCCATTTGAAATTGCCATTTCTGTGGCCCCAGAGCTTTTGAACATTGGCAATTTCATATGGTTCAACTTAATACATATACTTTTGCTTTTAATTCTGAAATGAAAATTTGGAATATCTGTGCCTGGGCACAATAAAGTCCCTCATCACAACAGAAGACAAAAAGATATGGATTTGACAGAAAATCTGGTTTAAGAGCCGGGCATGTACCTCTGTGATAGAGTGCTTGCCTAGCATGTGCAAGGCCCTGGGTTTGATCCCTAATGCTACGAAAGAAAGAAAGAAAGGAAGGAAGGAAGGGAGGGAGGGAGGGAGGGAGGGAGAGCTGGGTGCAGTGCCTTCCACCTGTAATCCCATCTACTTGGAAGGCTGAGGGAGAAGGATCACAAGTTTGAGGCTAGCCTCAGCAATTTAGAGAGACTCTGTCTTAAAATCAAAAAGGACTGGGGATGAAGCTCAATGGTAGAGCACTTGTCTAGCAAGCACAAGGTCTTGGGTTCAATCCCTAGATCCCCAGTGGATAGGAGATCCTGTGTGTGTGTGTGTGTGTGTGTGTGTGTGTGTGTGTGTGTGTGTGTATATGATTTCTCTTTATTAATTCTGCCAGCTATTTATATAAAGAACAATCAGAAAATTATTCTTTTGGCTTCAGATACATCTTAGAAAAGTGTCTGGCACTTCTGTTCTCAGGACTGTTTAAATAAGAGAATCTGCCTTAAATGAAATCACGTTTTATTTTCCCTAAAAACACAGAGTTTCAAAAACCTTGCAGTTTACATCAAAGAATTAAATTCAGAAAACATTTCAACAAAAGATCCGGGTTGCAAAATCACCTGCTATTAAGACTGCTAAACATTAGAAATATAAAGATCTGCCTAACTGAATAATTTATTAATTGCCTCCTGCTGGGGCCCATAGGCCAGAGATACATTTTTAAATATACAAGATATTTACTTGCCCTTTGCTCTGTATGTTAGATGCTTTCCTAACACAGTTGAGATCTGGATTTATGCACATTGTTCCATGTGGTGGAAGCACAAGGAGAAATATTTATCTGGAAGACACAGAAGATTTTGGCTCTAAGGTTTATGTTTAAATGTAAACACCCTTTTGTAGAGCTGATGATCACTCTCAGTTTTGTCTGCAACATGCTTATATGTTTCCTGTGTTGGGATTTCTTCTTCTTTTTTTTTTTTTTTTAGTTGTAGATGTTGACAACCCTAACCCTTTATTTTATTTATTTTTATACAGTGCTGAGAACCCAACTCAGTGCCTCACACATGCTAGGCCAACAAGGCCTTACCTCTGAGCCACAACCCCAGCCCCAGGGGATTTCTTTAAGTCATTTGATAAGAAACTTTCTACCAAGGATACATAAAGCTGATTTGAATGGAAGCTCCCTGACTGAATTTCCATCTCTGTGCTCTTTTATTTAAAAAAAA